AAAAAAAAAAAAAAAAATTTGTTACACGCGTTAACGATTATGTAAACGCGAGAAAATCGTATTAGAGAAAAATATAAATATCCGATTTGTTCTTAACGCGTTTTTATACCTGCCGAATCAAGGCTGACGAACTGGAAGGGAAATTTCAAAGAGGTGACGAGCGTAGGTTTCGTCTCGGCGAAGCTCACAATCTCTATGCGATGTTCCCTCAACATATCTAGAAATTCCTCGTGCAATTTCAACAATTGCGACGATTCTGCAAAGTTGAGGCGATAAAAATTAGACGAGCGTAATTAAGTAGAGGCGAACAAGAAGAAAAAAAAAAAAATTGATAAAACCTTACCTTCGCGCAGTTCCTGAACCTCGATTGTTGGCCACACCAACATTTGCGTCGCTTGCTTCAGAGCCGCCAAGTGAGAACCTCGATGAGGAGTACCGTAAAACAAGATCGCCTTGGTATTTTTGCAAATATCGCGTTTGTCGCCGGTTTTCCATTCTACGCACAAAACAAAACGCAATTGTGACATATAAGAGCGTTAACAATAATCACGCGTAACAATAAGGTTTTTATGACTCTGTTTTCGTAATAAGGATATATATAAAAATGTATAAAATTTCATTTACATTACCTTCTACAAGTATTTTCTTAACCAGTAGTCCGCCCATTGAATGGCCCACCCATACGAGCGGTCGACGCCCCACGTTTGCCAACGTCAGTTTGGCGATAAATTCCTCGCTTCTTTCTTTAATAGTGCTTCTATAACGTGAAAAAAATAATTAAATGCGATTTATCGAACGTCTGTGTATTTTAATAAAAATTGTATCCGATTAAAAAAAAAAAGAAAAAAAAACAACAATAAACTGCAACACTCAATTAAAAATTATAATAAATTCAAGGTCTGTTTCGAGCTGTTATAAGATCTTTAAATTTTATTTAAAATAGTTTTTAATAGAAAATGATATATCAAATAGAGTATATAAAAACATGATATCAAATAAATTAAAATACAAATAAACGTTTCAGCTCTCACTCGAGAGCCCTCTTCGGTATTAATCAAAATTATTTCGCGTATCTATATATATATATTATGTTTAGTTATATATATTATATATATATATTATATATATATAATATATATATAATATATATATGTAATATATTATATATTATAATATATTA